CACACACACACACACACACACACACACACACACACACACACACACACACACACACGAAAATACGTGTATACACGCGCGCACACCTACTCGCACGCGCGCACACGCGCACGCATGCACACAGTTACACGCGCACAAACGCGCACATACTCGCACGCGTACACATACGCACGCATTCACAAATGTTATAAACACGCACGCGCATCCACACGCACGCACGCCTTCGCTAAAAATTATACGCGCGCGCATACACACACGCGCACGCACTCTTGTACAACACACACATATATGCACGCACGCATACAAAAATGTACTTATACACTATATTTACATTCCAAAATCAGCTGCGCTCTTGTAATTCGCGGAGATCCTGATCTAGGCTTGCGCACGTGTCCTCGCGGCAAAACGGCATCCATATAATCACGAGTAATATACATGATACTGTATATAGATGTACAACTCCTGTAGTAATCATATCATGAACCCCTGATATAATGCTCCTCGGTCCCGGAAATGTACACGCAAAAATCTTCTCGCGGTGTACTAAGACCAGCGATAATACCCCCTACGAAAGCAAAGCCAATATATATCCTCACGCGTGCTCCTCCATCGAGGCCAACACGAGACATGCGACACTCTGAAAATGACTAGCATCAAAGCACGCGCGCACCGGAGTCGAGCGGCGATCGCACGCAAGCTGTCGCTAACGATGATATCGTGTTTTCTTCGTCGCGCGCGTCGCACAGACAATGAGCTGGTGAAGGGCATCCACGATCTGTTTCTGGCTGGCACTGAGACGACATCGAACACGCTCTACTGGTTCATGCTCTTCATGCTGCACCACCCGCACGTGCAAGCCAAGGTAGGTCGCTCGCAGACGCCCTGTCGGCAATGCGAGGCTCGAATGTTGCCTTCGTTTAGCATCTGCTTCTTTCTCCTCGCGAGTGCATGCATGCGGTTGGCGAATGTCAGCGGTTATCGAAGTCCGGTATCAATTTCGCATGCACTACGAGAGAATTCGTTCACTTCACGACGAATCGTACCACGGTTAAAGACGCGGACACGATCCCACTGCGCAGACGAATTCATTCGAACACGTTATCCTAGTCGCGCTCTTCAACGGCGCCATTAAATCTTGACATCACACCCATAACTGCAGAGCTCACGCACGCCTAGAAAAGTATGGAGACTCACATGCACCAATAAAATATACCTGGATAGTTTATATAATCCGATGTTATGGCCGGCCCAATATTCTGCCAAATATAGCAGTAGATTACAAAAATTGTTAGGGCAAAATCTTTTGGTATAAACCAACATAACACAACCATACCCAACACAACCAAACGGAACCAAACCAGACACACCGCAACACAAAACGACACAATACAACACAATACAGCACAGCACAGCACAATGCAACCCAACCAAACGCAACCTAACACGATACGGCACATCGCAACACAACGCAACACAAAACAACACAACAATACAACGCAACACAACTACAGCTGCAACTACAACACTACTAATCTACTATAATTGAGTGGACCGAAACTAGTTATACACTTACTAGAGGTGAATGTAATTGATTGTAGGTGCAAGAGGAGATTGACAGCATCGTCGGGCACGGTCGTCTGCCCAGCATGAGTGACCGCGCCAACATGCCCTACACCGAGGCGGCCATCACGGAAATGCAGCGCCTAGCAAACATAGGTAACGCCATCCCCCCGGACTTGAACATAGTGCAGACTTCTTAATAATCGTCTTCTTCTTCTTCTTCTTCTTCTTCTTCTTCTTCTTCTTCCTCCTCCACTTATTCTTCTTCGTCGTCTTTTTACTTCTTATTTCTTCTCCTCTTACGGACGTGCGGGAGCGTGTGCGCACATGCGCGTGGATCTGTCTGTCTGTCTGCCAGCCAGCGTGCCTGCCTGTCTGTCTCCCTGCCTGTCTGCCTCTCTGTCTGTCTGTATGTCCGTCTGCCTCCCTGCCTGCCTATCTCTGTCCCTCTGTCTCTTCCCCACTCTCTCTACACTACCGACAGTCGCTTGCCGACACTCCTCTATCTCAAAGCGAAGAGCAGGCCAGCGAGAGTAACAACAACCCATTCGTAAGCAACGACGGCCGCTTCTCTTCTTTCAGTGCCGATCGTGCCCCCTCATCGCGTGACGCGCGACACGGTGTTTCGCGGCTGGCACGTACCAGCAGACACGTGCGTGATGGCCAACCTACGCACAGTGCTAGGCGACGGGCAGCTGTGGCCTCAGCCCGAGCAGCTGCGACCCGAGAGATTTCTCAGCAGCGATCGGCGCAGCTTCATCAAGAGAGAGGAGATGATCGCATTCGGTACAGGTGAGTGCTTATTATATGCAAGCGGTTAGTACAGGTGAGTGCTTAGTATATGTAAGCGGTTAGTACAGGTGAGTGCTTA